CCCTGGGGGACACCACTGGCCACAGGCCTCCAACTGGACTCGGCCCCATTTATCACCACCCTCTGAGCTCTGCCATCCAGCCAGCCCTCGATCCACCGCACCGTGCACTCGTCTAGTCCACTGTCTCGGAGCTTCCATATGAGGATGTTATGGGAGACAGTGTCAAAAGCCTTGCTGAAGTCAAGGTAGACAACATCCAAGGTAGACAACATCCAAGTGTTTAGCATCTACTTAAATTTCTGAAAGCATTTCACTATGGGTAGTCCTGTTCATTTGACAGAAAAAAAACACTACCTTTTGTAGTTCACTTTCAAGCACACTGTTCTATGCTTCACACCCTTTCCTTCAAAAGTGACTTTAATAATGGCAAATGTTTTTAAAAAATCAAATCTGGAAGAGCTACAGAAGACCTAATAATCAGTGAAACTCCTAAAGGAAGTACACCTAAGATTACTTCCATTTTTTAAACTAAATCAGAGCTGTTTGCTGACCATTTAAAACAACAGAAAGGGCTTTTTTTWTTTTTTTTTTTCCCCCCACATACATTCAGACATGCTAAAAATATTAAGCTTGATTTCACTTAAAGCTGAAAAAAATTCCTATAACATAACAGACTGGAACACAAAAGTTTTAATGGCACCTGGCACCTTACCAGCACCAGGTTTTTAATATATTTTTTAAAAGTAACATATAACAAGTAACAAATGTAACAGAACAAAAAAGGACATTTTTTTAAAAAAAAAGATTTTACTTAAACACCTACTGATCCAGAAGTTTGGATATAAAAAGGTTTTTTTTTTTTTTTTTGTAAAGAACCACTTGCACAGTGCTAAATACAATAAATCCCTACTGAACAATTTCTATATATACACAAAGCACACCTTATMAAAATTAATAAGACTAACAAATTCTCCTCAAAGGAGATTCCCTCAGTGGACAAAACTATTACAATATCCACGTAGTATTTTATTAATCACTTCAATCACTCAAGTAGCCTCTATTTGGAAGTGTGTTTTAATACCAAAAAGTTTTTTAAGTTGGGATTCAAYTTCTACATAATATATTTGGATTCTTACACAAATCAATTGCAAGTTCATATTAACTGGCTGAAAATCTGAGAAGTCCAGCACTTGATCAGATACCAGTTGTTTTAATAAAAGTATTAATTATACTTTTTAGACCAGGAATAAAATGTAACTCTACATTTTTCTTCTTGGATTTATTTACTATTTTCCATTCAAGAGTTTTAAAATTTAATTTACTCAATTACCAATGAAAATGTCACTCATTTTTAATCAAACACACTATATTATAAAATTTCACGCATAAGAGGTTGTTCCTTTGCAGGAATTCCACAAATCATGGTCCAACTCCCATTTGCACAAGCTTCACCTCTAATTTTTCTCAAAAATATTTTTTTTTCCATTTCACCTTTTTGGAGTTTTTCCAACACCGATTCCTTTACATGCTGTGCCCATACTGCCCTCTGCAAAYGCTAATGCGGAACGGTGAAGCATTGAAACCCATTCAACTTGCAGCTAATGAATACACAGCAGTGGGATCACCTGATTTGTACTTTTCAGGTTCAATTTCCRAATGGGATTTTGTCTTTCAACTTCAGTGCAAGATTTTTAGTGAACTTAAGCTTCTCATCCCTGAGCAATTGCTATTGGGTCATGCCACTGGCTGAAATCTGGGACTGTTTCACAACTTTCACAAAAAGTAACTGTCTTCCTTCAGTGATTGTCTTCAAAGGGTGCCTTGAGAGTAAACTAGGACATAGAAAAATGTTAAGTTAGTGGAAGACTTTGGTAGGAAAAGGACGTACAGATCAACATGAATATAAACACAGTCCTATACAAAAAAAAACATTAAAATGCAGTTTTTAAAAGAATGTAAAATAAGATTCAAATATTTGCAGATACCTAAATAGCTCAAAACCTCAAAAGTGCAAACATGAAACAAGTAAAATACATAGCAGCAGTAACTTTAATCTTCCTTTTTAACAATGATACTCTTTATATTTCTAAAAAGAACAAAACCAAAAACCAACCTATCTTATTTCTCCTTCAGCACAAGACTCATCTGTAGGGCATTGACCTGTTCTGATTACACAGATGCTCCTTGAAACTGCTGCTGCCTTTGTTCCAAAGCCTGTTGACTTAGCAGTTGCTGTTGTTTCTGTAGAAACTGCACCACTTCTGGACTTCTTAGAAGGGACTTTAAGAGAGAAAAAGGGTATTTCACATTAAGGAACTCACATTTTAAGGACACACCACACTGACTACAGACCATATCAATTCTATATTATTTCTAAATCAATATGCATAYTGGCAATATGAGAGTTCAATTAAATGCTCAAAAATTACAAAATATGCTCACAAAATTATGGCAAAGTCAGAAGTCCAAAACGAAGAAATTGTTTAATGACATAAAGAGATAACAAGAGGCAGCATTTGGGCACATTCTGAAAGCAGACTGAGAACTTAAAAAAAAAGCTACAAAAAAAACATACAATGTAGAAAATAGAAGTAAACACATATAGTCATACAGTCGACATGACTATATTTAGATAAACTCATTTATTAAGTGATATTATATTCAATTATATTTCATTTTCTAGCTAACTTCTCCATTCTCCACCACATTAAACATCTATTCACTGGTTTGGTTGTTCCTTGCTCACAGTCATTTCACTGATGCAGCCAAAGAGTCTACAGAATTGCAACCATGAAACCCAGGTGAACATCCCAGAGAACAAGCAGATTCCAGGGCAGGTCTAGAACTGCAAGTTCTGAGGAGACAGCTTTGCAAAGCTGCAAGTGAAAACAAAAATTCTGTATATAACCTCTAGCAGCACTGAAGTAGTAAAATGAGCAAAGACCACTGAGAAGTTATTAACAAGCAGGCTTTCTGAACGGATGTGCAGCCCTTTTTCCACAGCTTACACCAGCTTTCTCAGACCCTTCTCTGTGAAGGACAGTTCTGCACTAGGCAGCTCTTTGTCTGGCTGGTGTTCGATGCCATTTGAGAGCACCTTGGCCCTGTGCTCCCACCACCCACTGCAGCCTCAGGAGCAAGAGGCTGAATAGTTCTCAACACGAATCCCTCAAAGCTGCTCCTGCAGCTGCCACTTCTCTCCAGCAGCCTCCGTATCCACAGCTCCACAAATCCTAGCTTCTCATGGCCCTTGCCATGCCTTTCTACACCTCTTTGCAGTGAAAGCCCCAGTGTCATCCCACATGGGCCTGGTACAAAAATGCTATAAATATTCATTAGCCTAGGGACTACCTCTCCTGTGCTTGTTTTAACCTTGTGGAAAGTACTGATTTTTTTACACTTCTGAGTGATAAACCTACAGGCAGCTACCAACAACACACAATAACTTTCCTGTGCAGGCATGGAGCTGCCTTGGATGCAAACAGGCTATGGGAATTCTTTCTAGGTCACCATGTATCCCCCCAGGCTCTGGGTTGAACGGATGTATGTAAAAAGTAATTCTAGAAAGAATAATGCTGAACAACAGACACCAAGTCAGATGAGCCAGCAAATCAAGAGAAATCTAAATCTCACTTCCTCAGAATGCTGGAAGGAAATCTCAGTTTTTGAAAGGCCCTGACATAATCCCAAAAGTTTCAACATCTATTTATTTTAAGGGCTTCTGATTTCTAAAAATATATTATTGCATTAAAGACATATGATGAGTACAGGAAGAGGGCAATTCAGTAAGCATGGCATGAAGAACGACAGATAATGTAAAAAAAAAAAAAGAATCTTATTAAATCTGAACAGGTTTAACAAACCCTTCTGGGTTTATTAGCAGGTTTAAAGCCCACCTGGATGCTGCCCTGTGCCCCCTGCTCTAGGTGTCCCTGCTGGAGAAGGGGGGTTCCACTAGATGATCTCCAGAGGTCCCTCCCAACCTCAACCATTTTGTGATTGTGTGAACTGCTGAAGATATCCCTCAATGTTTTGGAAATAATCATTAAATTGGTGTCTTTACTGCAAAAGTATTGAAAAAGTGTTTGGTGTTTACTTAAAGATATCTATGACTATCTTAAAGATTATTTCCAAATTTCTAAAGAGGACTATAGCAAGTCTTTAGAAGAGGACTAGAAGGAAGAATCCTTTAAGAAAACAGAACTTACCAGCCTCTTTTGATTTAATACATGTTCTAAAAGACTAGGTCTTGCTGGGCGATCTCCAACAGATCCTGTTCTCTGTTTTGTGGCAGAAATGGAACCTTCAACACAATCCTGGACATGAAAAAAAAATACAAAACACGTGAGATTACACACTCCAATACAATGACACATTTACTTTTTACCACAAAAAAAGCCTGAACAGTAGAGTATCTGTTTGCCTTATTAGTCTGCAGAAACAGATGTATTTCCTTCGTTTTGGGACTGTTATCTGAGAATTTGCCTCCTCCTTCCATGTTGTGTTCACTATTCCACCAGTCACAGTGAATACTACTCAGCAAGTACAGCTTCTAAACTCCAAAACTCATCAAGTCAAAACAGAACAGTTAATGGGTTTTACTGATTACTTCTCTTAAGAATGGAATCATTCAACACAGCCCAGTCTCCAGTGGGGAGAATTGTCTTACATTTGCAAACATRCAGAAATGACTTTTAATAGTAAAATATACAGGGGAAGGAAAGAAGAAAAAACTGCATTACTGGCACTCTACTTGCTCATTTAGAATTTTCAGAACATCACTAAGAACTTGTCAAAGCCATAAGTGACTGACACTAAAATTGCATGCTTTTAAAGTTTACTAAGCTTATTATGTTCCTTGTACAATTATCTGTCAGATAAATTAGATCACCTCTCAATACAGCTCTAGAATCTGTTGGACAGAAAACGCTCTTGGTCTGACAATTTCAGTCATAATTTTGAATCCTACCTGTATTAGTTCCCCAACTTCCGCTTTGACATCTAAAAACCTTTCCCTATCACCTTCCCACTACTTCCCACCACAGAAATTAATACTTCCCTTCTACCTGAAAGGGCTCAAGTAAACCCAGAAAATGTAACCCAGTATGTTTTGTTTCAATTACATTCATAGAATCATAGAATGCCCAAGGTTGGAAGGGACCTCAGAGGTCATCGAGTCCAACCCCCCTGCTCACACAGGGTCACCCAGAGCACGTGGCACAGGGCTGCGTCCAAGCGGG